CACATTAGGAAGGCCAGGTTGGGAAAGGGTACTGTAAAGTCTGTTTAGTTACCCCTGAGCAAACAGACTGTCCTCCTCCACATATTTTGCCTAATCCTTTTTAAAAGCCATGTAAGGCCAATGGCTTTCAGCTCTGTTTGGTAACAGAATCACAGAGCGGACAGTAACCCTACAGGAATCTAGTCCAACTCTCTGCATGGTACAGGTTTAAGTCCCTTGAACTCTAACAATTAATTAGATCAACCCAGCCCAGCACAGTCTACTTTAACTGGCAGTGATTCTCCCAAATTCATAGGCACGACACTTTGCCAATCCTGCTCTTCTCTGAATTAGCAATCCCCAGGATGCTTAAGAGGCAATGAATGTACTCTATCATCAAGCTTCCATGCATCTGCAGTGCTCTGAATCCTGTACAAGTGGGCTGATCTCTCATTGACCTGCCACTTACGACTCTGCAGAGAACAGCCAGTAGTTTGTCTTTTGTCTCCAACTGGACAATTAGGGATGTAGATAAGATTATTAAGAGTACCACTGACTGCAAGGAGAACCACCAAATTAGCCATAGACCACATAAAGGCTGGTTACTCCCTTGAGCCAATGACCAGCTGGCAGAAAGTCATATACTTTGGACATGGGATACAAGCAGATGATCTAAGATTAAGGAAGGTAGAAGGCAAAGATGCTGGGTGGATGGTATTGTATTAAAGACACTGCAGGATGATTCTTGGAGGACTGTCCATGGAGATATGTCAAATTGGCTAACATCTGTCATGCACTTGCCAGGAGTCAAACCTAACTCAATGGCACCCAATTTGTAAGGAGTACTTACATCATTCCATCTAAAATAGTTTTAGTTCTCCTGCAGTCTGCTTTGAGAAATTCCACCACACAATTTCAACTACAGGTTCGGCTGATATCAAAGCAAACAAACAAGAATCTCCTACAAACCTACCAAGAAAAAAATATTTCTGGGGTAGAGGGCAACACCAAAACAGAATCCCTCCTCCTTGCACAGATGAGTTTTGGTTCCCTCCAAGCTCATTTTAAATTAAAAGCAGTGCTGTGTACCTCCCAGAAGCTATCACCAGAGATGGGACAGCACATATATGAGTAGATGCCATCAAGCCACGTATTGTTCATACTGAATGGCATCTCCTCTTTGTGGTTTCAGATGAAGACGATGTCAGGGATTGAATCTGGGATCTTCTGCACGCAAACCAAATATTCTACTTCACGGTATATGCACCTTCTCCAGCTGCCTGCCCTGCTACATCAAATCATTGGTTGAGAAGTCCATTTGATATCCTAAATTGATCAGGAAGATGGGTTTGATGGCCTAAATCATAGTTTTTCAAACTTGTTGGCTAAAGAATTCTGGAAGTTGAAGTCTACACATCTTAAAGTTGCCAAGTGTGAAGAACACTGGTCTACATGGATCCTTCCATTCTATGACATTTATGACACCTATTCTCAACCACAGTTCAACCGTGCCTATATGTTTATAGCTAATTCTGTTCCATTTATTTACTTCCATCCACTTATCAGCTGCTTCTCATAAAGAAATGCGGGAGAATTACCAATTCGCAGGTTGCAGAAATACTGCTTCAAGCACGAAGAGCTATTCTCTCTCTCCATTCCCAAGACAAGAGGAGCTATACTTAGCTTGTGGATTCAGTTCCTCACAAGTCGGAGATCACAGCTTGACTTCTCCTCAACTTTTACTCCCCCCCCCCAATTCATAAAATAATGAAAGAACTAATGTGGTACCTCAGCATCAGGACAGAAAAAAAAATACATTTGGGCTGACTGATTTAACAGACACAACATCTCCATAATTTCTCACTTTCTGGGTACATTTTTGCAGTTAATGTAGGATAAGTGATAAAAGGGACAGGATCCTACTCACATCATTCAGCATTAAAATAGTAACTGAATTCTACCTTTATACCTTAATCTCTTTAAATGACTTCAATGCCTAATTTACCTTGCTTTGGTTAGGATATTATTAAACAAACAAAATGTATATAAAAACCAGGCCAATATAGTGCTGATAAATTAATTACTCAGGGAACACTTCAGATCCTTGTAGAGGATGCATTTTTTCAGAGAGCCTTATGGACTCACTTTGAAATATGTTAAAATAACTTCCTGTCACAATGCCCTTCAGAAGTTGCTTACAAGCCACATCATTCTCAGCTACAATGACTGCTGGATTTTTTGGCATTTTCATTTTTATCTATTTTGCTAGGAATAATAGTAGCTGTAGTCTCACATATCTTGAGGCATCAGGAAGAAGAATGTATTGTTTAACAGTGCAATCTGATGCATGTTTTCTCAAAAGTAAATCCTGCAGTTTTCTAGGGCTTCCTCCCTGATAGTGGTTTTCATGCTTGTAAAGAAAAACCCAAAATCACTTAACAATCAGTGATTACTTTTTAAATATTTCCTCATATTAACCCATATTGTTAACAGAAGCCAAACTATGACACAAATATAGCTCATACCCACTCATCTGATTGTTTATAACAGTGTGACGGTGTATGTAGAATCAACAAAGATTGGCCCAAACTATCTTCATAATAGAAGGAGGAGTTCCCTCTCTCTAAATGGCAACCCCTATTATAAGAGCATTTGGCACTTATGAGCAATTCTTTAAGAGATGAAAGCATTACTTCTACAGTAGCAGAAAAATAAAATCACAACAGTCCTTCAAAACAGGCCAGCACTAGCAGGGAACAACAACAAACATTGAATAAAAGATAGCCTAGCTGATGTTCTGATTTCTAGAATTTCAGATGCCATTTCTCAAACTAGTTCACACCATTAGTTCACATGTCTCTTATCCATCTGAGCAAATTTCTACTATTTTAATTTCTTATCACCATCACTGTTACTTTTAATAGCATTATTAACATCATATTGTACATTCAACAATCATATTGTTTGCTGTTCTGGGAACAATCAGCATTTAAAGCGCAGGATAAAAAATTGGGTCGTTGATACACTGGCAATAAGCACTGAGGTCTGCCTGAAACTATTCAATGGCCTGGTTTGCACACTGTTCTAGGACATGGTTTAACACAGTGCTTCCCAAACATTTTCCTTCATTACCCAAAACTCTCGGGGGGGGGGAAGGAGGGCATGATGCGTGTGAGCAAGTGAAGGAGGGAGCAGTGCGTGCATGTGAAGAAAGGCCAGGTGGATGGGGGAGACTTACCCAAGCGATTTGCGACCTCCCCTGCCGGCTTTCCCATTGACCTTGTTTGTGGGAAGCTGGCAGTTTCAAATGGTGATCATGTGACCACAGGATGCTGCAACCGGTTGTAAGTGCGAGCTGGTTGCCAAGTGCCTGAATTTTGTTCACATGACCTCAGGGGTGCTGCAACGGCCAGAACTTTAAGGACCAGTCATAAGTCCCTTCTTTCAGCACCATAGTAACTTTGAATGGTTGTGGAATGAATGGTCGTTACTCAAGAACTACCTGTATTATAAAAACAGTATTACTGAATGATCTTTATGTCATTTCAACAAATTACCATTGGTAATGTCATCGATTTTCATCTTAATAGGAATACTTTGGGAGATTTTCAAATATGTTTTAGTATACGTGGCAATCCTTAAGTCAATTTAAATGTCCCTGTTGTGAATGGGTTCATGTGTTGCTACCCAAAGAAAAACCAGTTTTACCCAATTTAGGGTAATTTATCCAAGTTTGGGAAGCACTGGTTTAACGAATAACCACCAATGGACTAATGTGTCACACTAAGCTATAAACTATGATACACAAACCACAACTGAGTTCACACAATTTCTGGTTCTAGGCCACATGACACTTCTTTGTGGTTAGGGGCAGCTCTTTTATTCTTACTGTGGCTACAAGAGACAGGCTTGGTGATTCAGTGATGTTGCCGGAGTAGGCAGGATAATTTGTTTTGGCTCTTAACTTGAGGGGAGGAGTTAAGGGGAGAAATGTTGTACCCAGAATGAAAAAAAAATTGCACCACTGAATTCTGGTGGCACAATCTGGGCTTATTCAGAGAACTGTGAAATGGGTACCAAAGGATGACATGTACAGCAGCTACTCCTCTGCTAAGCCATCTTAGGTCTCAACACATAGAAACCATCTTCCTTAGCACAATGTATGAATCAGCAAGCAGTTTATTTACATCCAGTACAAGGCCTGAACTAACTCTTAACCCACCTACAGCACAACTAAACAGCAGTCAAAATTCAGATTCTCCAAGTAGAAATGAAAAAAAGTTTGAGGTGGCTCCATTATTGCTATTAACATCTAATCTCTTGTTTGTCTTATGATTTTTTAAAACTTTTTAATGACTGTTTTTGATATGTTTATTGTTTTATATCTTTGTTGTACACCATCCAGAGCCACTTTTTGTGAGATGGGCGGCCATATAAATTTGATATATAAATAAAATATATAAATAAATATTAAGGAAAGGAAAGACCTCAATAAATAATAAAAGAGTTCAGAAATAAGTTAAGAAAACAGGGATTCAAAATGAACTTTGTTACACATGAAAATACACACACACACACACAGAGAATTTTTGACAGCCTGGAGTGAGACTTTGAACACGTGAGAGCCATTAGTTTCTAAAACTCCATAAACTTCCAGAGGTCATGATATACTTCAAACTACAAAACAGAACCATCAATAAGGATTTACTGTAATTTAGGAAAGAGGTCTATAAACCAGAATACAATCTCAAGTTTTCAAACTACATTTCTTAGTTCTCTTGACCATTTCCCAAAGTTCCACAAGCAGTTTTTAGAATTATGATCCTTCAGGATTCTAAAACTGTAACATGCAAAGGGGTGAAAGATCACCAGTGCGAGTTGTGCATTTGTAAAGTCACATTCTGTCTATCACAGACTAATAGGCAACCTTTGAAATTCCAGCTTTAGCCCTCACCTATCTAATGCACTTTGGATACAAACTGATCCCAAACATGTGACCTCACCAATTTTTAAGAAAATACCTTTCTTGGAAAGCAGGCTGCAAAATCTTGATTTGGCTTGACCAATGCTAGACATAGGCACTAGAGGGAGTAAAGGGAAGAAAATGATCAGATGTGAAGATCCTGAAGGGGAAGAGACACTCTATCTGAACTCACCAGTCAGTTGTTAGAAGACAACCATCCGTTTTCCTCTGAAAACTTTTTACTCATTTCCTAGGGATTGCCAACGCTGAACTAGGGAAATGAAAGGCGTTTGTGACTGGGAAAACCAAAAATGAGCCTCGGTTCAGACTTAACTGTAGCGGTGGGGAATTCAACACAAGGTCACCACGCACACGTCTCTACTCCTTGGCCCTGCAAGAACTAGGTCGTGCCACCGACCATCAGTTTGGATCCAGCCGGACCGCGAGAGAGATCAAGGCTACGGTTTCAAAAAGGGCATCCCGCCGTCCCGGGACCAAATCCCCAGCACGGCTTTCCTTTCTCCGATTCCCCCCGCCCACGGGGGGTCTTCGCAGCCTTGCTTCCAACCGGACCCGCTTCGTTCACACCAGCCGAGGAGCTCGCTCCTTATTCCTCCCGAATCCGGCTTCGCGCCCCCTCAGGACACAGGCTGCCCCCCGCCCGCGCTTCCCTGCTGCGGCTCTCCCGCTCGCCCCGCCGGCGTTTGCGCTCCACACGCTCCGGGGGAAACGCTTCTCCTTCAGAGGGGCGCGCTCGTGTTCCGCCTCGGGGGTGGGTCGCCCTGCAATCGGGAGAGACGCGAGGCCCCCGAGGGGGGAAGAGCCGCGGGGGCGGGAGCCGGCAACTGGGGCGGGGAGCGAGGCGAGGCGGCTGCGGG